TTCACCATGTCCGAAGCAGTGGAGGTGAAGGTATGTATATTTTTTCTAAAATACGTCTTCCATTGTTCAACCTTGTCCGTTGGTCGATATTTTTTTGTACCTGTTTCCTTGGTCCTTGTGTTTTGCAATAATCAGTTTTGGATGCTTCTGTGTTATTGCGTAAGCCTGTATTTTAAGGTCGTCTAAATTTCATATTCAAGTAAAGTCGTTTCTGTTCAAAATTAGAGCAAGTGCACCACCCCTAGAGGGTAGTCAACTAAAGAGGCCACGTTTTCTTTTTCGTCGCCTGTAGCATTTGGTTTTTAGGCCAGAAAGTACTACCTTCCGCTTCGTCTTTAGATTTTTATTCTTAGCTAACTTGTTATGCATTTCATGGTCAAACCACTGCTCTACCTTACCACTGCCTTGTGCTAGCTAAGAATTATTTGAATTTATTATAAATTTACCCTCAGTAACAATAATGTTTATGCTTAGTTATTCAAATTTTTCAGGCGGAGGCCCTCCCAGATTTAGATGACTTGCTCCAGTGTCCTGTGTGCTATGAAATACCTACCGGCCAGATCTTCCAGTGCAATGAGGGCCACCATGTGTGCGGCCGTTGCAAGATGCGCCTGGACGTCTGCCCTGTCTGCCGTGCTTTGTTCTTTGGGACAAGAAATTATGCAATGGAAGAGCTCATTGCTAATGTTAGAAAGCTTCGAGCCTTTGTAAGTGTGATAAAAATTTAACTATTCCAGGGTTGATTATGATGAAACATCCAGAAAATTTGTAGAAGCTACACAAGAATTTATATGAAAAAATGAAATAAAATTTGAAAACATTCAACATAAATATACTTGGTCCAAACTGTTCACAAACAAAGTGATGAAGTTGGTGTGGGTTGTAAATGTACAGAAATGTAGGTCATTTTCATGTTTTAAAATATTTATGTAAGTGTTTATATTGTGTTTCAGAAATTGGGTGGTAAAGTGACCACAGGTTCAACTTCATCTGACAACAACAATGTATCAAAAGATGATTCTACTGCGGAGGCTGAGGACAGTCCTGCAGAGGATGAAGATGAAAATAATATGAACTTTGCTAGTGTAAGTATTTTACTGTAACCCCAAAGCCCCTTCTTGTCTTGTCTTGTCTTATTTAGCCTATGTCATCCCACTGCTGGGCAAAGGCCTCCCTCTTCTCTTTCCATCCATTTCTATCTTGGGATTTTTGCTTCTTATAAATGGCTTAGATTAAAAGCTTAGCAATATTTTGGGAGCCAAGGAACTAAATCATGAGGTTTTTTGTTATCCTCTTATAAATGCAACTATTCCTCTGTTAAGTGCAGTATGTGAATTTTCTACTGAGTATTTTTTAGTCTTACCTAATAATAACTTTTAAGTGGCTGGCGGCTGGCCTTGTCAAATCAACATGTACCAATATTATTGTCAGTTCAACACTTACCTAAAAAATTTAAGTTTTATCACTATATGCTGCAGAGGGAGGATCATATAACAATAAAATATGAATTTTTCAGCGCCCTGGTGTAAGTGCTCCACAAGCTTGCAAAGGGCTCTTCCGTTGCTTGTGTTGCAAAAACGGCAACGCTGAGAGGTTGCCGTCTGCTAGACTACTTAACCATTTGCGCTACTTCCACGCCCCTGAACTTATTGAGGTATGTATTTTGTTCACAATCAACCAAACAGAAAAATATCAAACGGATTTTGTATTTTTGTTTTTGCTATGAATTCTTGTTTCAGGGTAAATCTGAGGGTGGAGAGTATGTGCAAGCATGGCAGTTCTCCACCGTGCCTGGTCGGATTGTGACTGCAGTCCGTATTGCAGACATGGGCATCTTTTTCTTAATTATCGAAATTGCCAGTAAGTTTTTTTTATCTATATTTGATCAATATTTGTTTTGGTGAGGTCTATGCACATACATTTGGGATGTGTTCAATGTCTGAAAACAAATATACAATTTGTTTCATTCACAGATATTTTTGAATCCATTCACACAATTCCTGAATTAGTCAATGATTCGTCAAATAGTATAAGTAGATACGTAATTTATCAGCGTAAACTTTGTCAAAGGTGAACAAAAACATAAGGTGATAAAGTCCTGTGTGTAATTCCTGGTAAAGTGTCCATCCTGGTCTGTGATAAGCTGTTCTGTAGTCATAGTATTTAATTTGTCATCATATTATAATATAGGCCAATGCATGGGAAAATAAAGTGATCATTTTCTTTCAGATGACCAAGTGTGTGCTTGGCTGACGATGGCGTCTGCTCCGTGGGTGGCGCAGGAGTACAGCTACACGGTCACCATCTCGGGCAATGACCGCGAAGCTATCTTCACTGATTGTGTAAGTATAACTATAACAAAGATATGAAATATCTCAATAGGCGCGTCCACACCAAGCGAGGCTGCTCGCTGCCTCATTGACTCGCGAGGCAAACGACCAAACATGGAGCGTATGCCGCGCGAGGCTGTGAGCACCTGAGCATCCTCGGGCAGTGTGGACGCACCTAATATTTTTCCTGTTATCAAAATGGTATACATAATGTTTCAAAACTGTTCCAGGTATGGTCGGTGAGATCGTGCGAGGGTTCTCTGAAGAAGCGAGGACACTGCCTCGTGGTCAGCGGACAGGACGCGCGCGCACTCGTCGCGCCCGCGCTTATTAGTGGCAAGGTATTTACCACTTGCGAACATTATTTCATTTAATTTTATAATAAACTAGCGGCCGGTTACCGGTTTCACCCACTGCAACTCATTTTCCCGCGGAAAAAGGCATTTTGTCTGGTGATTTAATCTGTCGCATGGTTTTGGCGGAGTTACTGAATTCCACGACAGGGAAACGCATAAAGCAACTTCATGTTATATCTACTATTTATTGATAATATTGAACAATTTATACTAAAGAAATCTATGAGAGTTCCGCGCTATTTATCTTACACCTAGTTTAAAAATATTAAAACGTTTTAGGTATCGGTGAAGCGCGTGCCAAGCGACCAATTGACCGCGGTGACGACCCCGCGCGCCGTGCTGCGCGTGGCGTCGCGCGCGCCCGGCACCGCCACCACCACCAGCACCAACAACACCAACAACAACCAGAGCAGCCGCAACCCCGTCGCGCAGGACCTCGAGCCCTTCCTGCAGGACCTGCAGAACGATGTCGCGCGCCTCTCTCGCGCCTTCGCCACGCTCGGCCGCGAGGCCAACGCGCTCGTGCGCTCCGAGGCGGAGATGCGCGCGCGCATCAACCGCGCCGACCCGCCCGTGCCGCCGCCCGTCGCCCCCCCCGTCCCGCCGCCCGACGCGCAGCCGCTCTCCCGCAACGCGCGTCGCCGCATGAGACAGCGCGTGCGTGCCGCGCTCAACGCGCCGCAGTCGCCCGCCGCCGCGCCCGCCCCGGCTGCAGCCCCTGCACCCGCGCCCGCACCGGTCCAGAACAACGCGGGCGTCCCGCGAACGAACGGCCGGCCGCGCAGCCCGCCCGTGATCGCTCGTATCGGCTACTTACGCGTGGTGGAAGCGCCCCCGCCTGCCCCCGCGCCCGCGCCCGCCCCCGCCGCGCCCTCTTCCAGCGGGGGCGCGGGTGACGCGCAAAACACCAACCAGCAGCGCGCGAACAAGAAGAAGCGCCGCCAGCGCAGATAAACCCGCGACTAGCTAGTGTAGTTAATTAGAAATTGTCGTAACTAACGAGTAGTTATGGTGGAAGGCGTCGACAGCTCTGACCGAGTCTCAAACTTTCCTCTGGGGATCCTCAGCTGTAGCGAACTAATAAATTTTTTGTACATAATTTTACACATTGCATTGCAATTTTACGAGTGCTGTGATAAAGACGATTGTAACGTGTGGAGAGACGACCACAAATACATAATTAATTATGTTTACCTACTACTTAACTTGATATTGTCAATCCCCAGAGAGAATGATTTTTTGTGATTATTGTTATTTTTAATTAATCGATCTTGATTTTAATTCATTATTTTAATGAAGTGCATTTGAGGACTGTTTATTATGATGTTGACATTAATATGAATACTTCTTGTAAAGATAAATTCATACATTAGACTAAGTGTAAATGCTACATGCTTGTTTTATGTATTCTCTAGACTAGAATCATTGCAAGTAGCAATGTTTTAGGTCTACTTGTTATTAATACCTTGACGGGAGATATTACATTATCCAATTAAAATCCTAAGTGTATAAATAACTGTTGTTTTTGTTATTATTACCAAGAACACCACCTCTAAATACTTCCGCAGCAAGCATCACACATCACCTCTGAAATACAAATTAAGAGAAGTAAGTACGATACGGCCACAGAATAAAAATAGGTACGACAGGACACTAGACTACCATCGCCATCTAACGGAAATTCTTAAAAGAGCGCAATTTATTCCCAAAAGCGCCATCTCTCTATCGTTGTTAAAAGCTGGAAGTACCAACTGAAAGCGACATCTGTTAGTGAACTATTGAATCAATTCAGCGCCATCTAACAAATATTTTAAGTACTTGTTAGACTATAAGCGCCATCTATTGCCAAGTAGCGGAAGCTTTAGGCGATAGCGTTGCTGTCCGCCATTTTGTTGACTTGTGCACATGACATGACATGAGAGATAGGAAAAGGGTAATAATAATTTATACAATTATTATTAAAACCCACGGGAATAACATTTTATTTGATCTGAAGATAAATGTTCACATCATACACATTAAATCAAACGAGCCTGATAATCAATACAGACTTAATTGAAAGGTTTATCTGGAATATTCTTAGTTCATAGACGGTAGTGCCATCTTTCATTAAGTAGATCGCACTAACAGAGTCACATCTATTTTTGTTATCTTCCGGCAGAGGTCAGAGGTTTTAGTGCAGTGCAGTGATAAAGCCGGGTATTTAGCTTTTAGCTATGTACTAAAATATAGCTACGCGAGCAGCAACAGCAACACGAAACAAGTCACGTGATAAAATTAAGGCGATTTTGGTTTCTAACCTATCAGATACATCGCCAAAGGTAGGTATAGTGATATAACGACTGCCTGCGACGCAGAAGGTTCCGGGTTCGATTCTCGGTGGGGCATTTACAAAGTTGATATTTATCACATTGTGACAGCCGATATGGTGCAGTGGTAGTGCGACGGCTAGCGACGCAGAAGGTTCCGGGTTCGATTCCCGGTGGGTCACTTCAGAAAGTTAATATTTTCTTATTTGTAAATTAGTTCTCAGCCTGGTTAGGACATTGCAGGGCAAACTATATGAATGCCCGAAATGAAAGATGGTTCCGTGCTTCAGAGGGCTCGTATAGCCATCGGTCGGTCCCGGTTGCTGTCTATGATTGACACATTCATTTCAAAGGCCTGTTCTGTTTCTTGTTAGTAGGTGGTTGAATCACTCAGACACCAGGCTTTCATTGGGTCGTTGGACGACTCGGCGTCTCACTCGAAAAGAAGAAAAAGACACTTTCATGAAATTAAACGTGACTGTAACGCTAGCCAATACTTACTTTGTGCTGTATGTAACTGAGTCAGCAGAGATAGTTAGTAGGTAATTAAATGGAGTGAACAGTACGCTCGCGATCTGATTGCAGCCGCTGTCATACATTTTGTTTGCATCCATATGCAAGCAGATCGCGCGGGCCATAGTACCTAAATCCTTGATAAGATAACAACAAAAACATAAAATAATGGTCTCGTAATGTCGTAGTTAGCTAGAGTCTGGCTAGCGAGTCTTTGGACGTCAAATAATTCAAATATTTCAAATGGCAACATGTTAACACTGAAAAACTACAATAAAACAATTTTGATACTGACAATTTTTTTGTGTTTACCTTGCCTACCGGTATGTATGTATGATGTATCTACCGGGAGTAACAGAAAGGGTATAACAAGCCGAAAGGAGGTCAAGGTACTCATGAAACTGAACAACTTTCCCCATGGAACATGGGACGAAATATGAAAAAAAATTTGGACCTCTCAGAGTAGGTAAATCAATCAGCTGATCTGCGATTTTGTATGGGAGGTCCAAATATTTTTTTCATATATCGACCCATGATTCATGGGGAAAGTTGTTCAGTTTCATGAGTACCTTGGCCTCCTTTCGGCTTGTTATACCCTTTCTGTTACTCCCGGTAGATACATCATACATATAAACAAGTAAGCAAGGTAGGTAGGTAGGCAAGGTAAACTCAAACTGAAGAGCAGAAAACAAAAAAATAGTGATTATATTGTAGTTTTTCAGTGTTAACATGTGAAAGATTTTTAAAATTGGCGCCATTTCCGTGTCCAAAGACTCGCTGGCCAGACTCTACTTACCTACTACTGAGCAAATTCATAATTATGTCCTGCTGTCAGATGACGTCATATTCAGTTCCATTAAATATTTTGATTTTATTTCCATTATGGGTACCAACGTTTTGAATTGTAGGTGCATTATTTTCATAAATTATATTTTATTTTAAAATCAGGATATAAAATATTTTGAAATCTGCGTAATTAAATTAAATTAACATATGTTTTTTATTTGGTTTTTGTAAGCTTAACCATCTATACCTATTTTGTTCCCTAATTGTCTACCCCGTAAGGGATATAGGAATGATAATTATATCCATACTTCCATTTTACAATACTATTTACTATTTATTTAATATTTAATATTTTAATATTTAATATAATATTATAATATATATAATATTATAATATAATATTATAAATTCGAAAGTAACTCTGTCTGTCTGTCTGTCTGCTACGCTTTCACGCCTAAACCACTGAACCGATTTTGATGAAATTTGGCACAGAGATTGCTCATACACCGAGAACGGACATAGGCTACTTTTGCTTCTACTTGAGGGTCTGGAGTAGGTACCTGATGTAGACCATCAGAATCACCACCAGCAGCCCAGCCCAGCTAAACCATACCATTAAGAAAAGACATTGAAGGTTTGGAGTACCTCATGTAGACCACCAGGTGCAACAACAGGAGCCCAGCCAAACTATAAGTGATTCAGATATGACTCCATAGCAAAAGTTGTTCAGCTTGATGGGACGCTTCTGCTAACGAATAGACATCGAAGGAAGGAGTATCTGATGTAGACCACCATGTGCACCAACAGGAGCCCAGCTAAACTATAGGAGATACAGATATGACTTCAAAGCAAAAGTTGTTCCGCTTGATCGGACGCTTCTGCTGGTGAAAAGACATCAAAGCTTTGGAGTACCTCATGTAGACCACCAGGTGCACCAACAGAAGCCCAGCGTAACTATAAGAGATTCACATATGACTATAAAGCAAAAGTTGTTCAGTTTGATGGGACGTTTCTTCTGGCGAATAGACAACGAAGGCTTGGAGTATCTGCTGTAGACCACCAGGTGCACCAACAGGAGCCCAGGTAAACTATAGGAGATACAGATATGACTCTAAAGCAAAAGTTGTTCGGCTTGATGGGGCCTTTCTGCTGGCAAATAGACATTGAAGGTTTGGAGTACCTGATGTAGACATCCAGGTGCACCAACAGGAGCCCAGGTTAACCATAGGAGATACAGATATGACTCCAGTATAAAAGTTGTTCAGCCTGATGGGAAGCTTCTGCTGGCGGAAAGACATCGAAGGTTTGGAGTACCTGATGTAAACCTTCATGTGCACCAACAGGAGCCCAGATGAACAATAGGAGATATGGAAATGGCCCCAAAGCAAAAGTTGTTTAGTATAATGGAACGCATCTGCTGGCATCTGTTGGCAATGCGATTATGATTTGAGAAATGTAGTACCAACAATATTAGCGTGTTGAATATCCAGAGTATAATTTTTTAGGATGCTGGTGTGGAAATAAGAATTTTGCACAGCTGTAAGGAATGAAACGAAACGAAGTTCGCGGGTACCAGCTAGTTTATAATAAACAGCATTTAAATATGCAGCATAGCAGCAGCAGTTAGCATAGCAGTTTTGTAACCATGGTACACATTATCATCTTTATTGAAAAAGAAGTAACGCCATCTAGTGAAACGGCAAGATACTTCTTGGATAGTTTTGCGTACTCGAAACTAGATTGCGTTGCTGTTATTGTTTATCAGTTTTGCTATTCGATAATAGATGGCTCTTATTTGACACATTTCTGATTTCTCCTTTTCTGTCACATTCTAAAACAAATCCAGCAAGCTGCAAGTGTGCTTTTTGCAATTTTTCCAGATTTTATTCAATGTAATGACCATTTCGTGTGGATCACGTACGTTCTGGGTTCTAGAACGTAACCGTTTTGTTGTTTAAATCTCAAAACTTAGTAACTTTGGTGTTTACATTGTGTTTAGAGTTCGGTTTTGCTCATGGCAAAAACCTAAGGATATTGTGCAGAAATTATTCAAAGGTAAGTGTCTTTCACAATATTCTATGACTGAATATGTATCATATTTTTCGAGATATGTCGTATCTTAGTAGAAGAATATGAGGTCAGAGTAGGTAAGTATGCTTTTCGATCTCGATGTTTGATCTAGGTACTGAAAATTTGTAAAGTGATGAAAGGTCTTCAGTTTGGGAAACCAAATACCTCCCCCTTTTGAAGTGAAGTAAGTCAAAGTTCTACTAGTTCTTTTAAACTGGTCTTGTAGTTCTCCCTTTTGAAGTAGTTTTACATTTTGAAGTTGTTTTCCCTTTTGAAGTTGGTCTTATCATAGTTCAGCTTTGAGGTGCAACTGAGTAGGTAGGTAGGTACATTAGTGATCTGTGCAGATATTAAGTCAGTATCCAGGTATCAGTTCCAGGTATTTTACACTATGCATGATATACCTAGCTTTCACACACCAATAAATTCACACCATCACACGTATAGTTCATCAAAAACTTTTATAGCTCATTTAACAAAATTGTTGATATTAGGTGCCAAGTTCCTGACAGCCCTGAAATAAATTGATGGATATTATATTCATATGATTTTTCAATTTATTGTCTTCATTAATTTTCTTTGCAGTTTACAAGTTATCATATATATACAAGGTGTTCCAAAGGAAATACATTAAATTGGAGACGTTGTGTAGACCATTGCTCTGAACAATTTCCATTATGGCACCAAGTTAGAATTCTTAACAATTAAGAAGTTAAAATTTTCATACAAACTAAATGCCTACATTTTCTACAACCATTATGTATAACGCCTTATCCAAGTTTGTAACCTTGCATTTTCAACTTGTTAGATTTGAATCTTCGAAAAAGTTTGGAACATAGTTGTCTATGTTTTAAATTTAAACGAAAACTTAAGATAAAAGATCTCTTTCGTGGTGTCAAATTTATTTTATTGCCGCCTCAAACTAAAAACTTCTTTTGACTTATAGCACCCATAGAGACGCAAAGACAAAGGGCCAATCAGAGAACCTAGTAGAGTATGTGGTGTCAGTTGTGTCAGTTTTTGACGAACATGATATTTGACCTTGGTGTATGCCACAACTGTTTCCTTGGCAACTAAATTACCGCCAAAACCATTGCCTTAGTAACAGTTGTGGCGGTAATTTCAAAAGTTTTTGCAAGACGGCAAAATGACATAAATAAAGGTCATAATCAATAAAGCTCCTTTCATAATGTGGGACTCAATTAAATTTAACAAATTTTAGTTGCTAATTACTTCAAAACAAGGGGTTTTCATAACTTGGCCCCATAATGAAAAATATTCGGTACGATGGCCTACACAACGTCTCCAATTTAATGTATTTACATTGGAACACCTTTTTTTTTTTTTTTCTTATTAAGTGGCCAACATGCGATCGGTCTTAAGACCATAAGCAGTTTTTTTGATAGTTTAATGGCTGGTAGGCGCGCCTTCCCACTGTTAGGCTGCCTTTATATTGGTGCTTCTCGTTTGGTCAGTCAGTCGAGGCTTTGGCGTTGTCCCAGGTATGCAACCGTTTTAGGCGTCTTTTTTCCAGAGGGGCATTGAGGCACTGAGCTAGTCTATTTTGGTGGTGTGCGATTTTGACTTGATAGCTTTTAGAGGCATTGGTTATTTCTTCCTTGATGGTTGTGATTTTTAGGTACTTATGGATTTCATCCATTTTGGTAAACCATGGAGCATCCACAATTGCTTTGAGCACCCCATTTTGG